CCCCCCCCAGTTTTTGGTCGATGTGACGGTTCACTGGGTTTTTTTGTACTTGTCCAGTCCTGAAATTCACCTGTCAGTATGTCAGTGTGTTCTCACTCCAGCAGGTCTGTCCACTCCTCCTTCTCTGATGGCTTTTATCTGTCGGTACTTTACAAAAAAACCCATCTTTCTCTATAAAGTGGCAACACCATTATTTTCACAGACACACACACAAACAAAACATGCTGTCGCGTAATAATGGAATAAATTAGGAAATAAAGAACAACAACGAGGTGACAATATTTGATTCAAGAATTAGTCAAGTGAAAGAGTGGCCCCGGGGCATAAAAGGAAAGGTAATTTGCGAGTGAAAATAGAGAGCGATAAAAGCTTTACACTTTAAAGAAATTAATTATCCCCCTTCTTATTCTCTTCTTAACCGTTGCGGACACTTATTTTATTTGCGTGCTTCTGAAAGCAGAATATTAATAGAAATGCTTACCTCAAGGAGGTTTTTACACTTTTGAAAGGTGGGACTACTCAATTCAATTTTTAGTCCATTTAGCGTGAATTGTTACAAACAAAATGCAAATGAATGCTTAGCATTCACAGGTTTAGCTCTCACATGTGCTGTTTTGTGTAAAGAGCTTAATTATATGCAAAAGGAACAGATGTTTGCAATAAAAATGAAACAAACCGAAAGTCAGTGATAGTGTGATCTTTAGCAGGCTGGGAGGTGGGTACACCTTGATTCTGCAATGCAGCTTTTAAGCACTGAGAGAAAAAGAGGCTCATTTAGTAACTCACTGTTATATAGACACCCATGTGCTTAATCTTTCATTGAGAAGACCATAAACTATTCAAAATTAAATCCCCCAATGAACCTCTAACCCTAAGGAAACTTTTAAATGGAGCATAGTAAAGCTAAGGTTCACTGTCTGTGCAGACCGACCGGTAGTGGGGTTAAATCTAATTCTCATGAGGGATGGCGAGTCATACACTGCACTAAGCAATCTTTCATCTCTGTTTCTGTGTTTAGCCGAGGATCACATTTGGGTCAAATTCTGCATCTGGGTACACGTACAGGCACAGTCAGAGCGAGGAGACAGCTCTGCACAGGGGAGATCCGATCAAAACAGAAGAAGGGAGCCTGGCACAGGTTGTGTTTGATTAAGTCTGCATTCAGAGAGGAGTACTGAAGAGAGAGGGAGCTGAGGCACAAAGACACCAGCTTGGCTGCCTTAGATGGAGAAGATCATCATGGGACTAATCAAGCCCAC